CATGATACATATTACTGACTGCTAGCTTTTCCCAAGACGGTTCTAATGATGAAGCCTCTTTTTGAAACTATACCGCACTAAGACAGGAGAATTGACTATGTCGTGCCGAGCCACGTAAAATTCGTGCAACGTTATGTTATGTGTGATCCGCTCTGCGATTAGGGGTCAGCCGAACGGTCAAGTTATGATCATATTTTCAGTCGAAAATTGCATTTTTTCTTCATTTCATTCTTCTTATTACATTTCAAGTGAAAGCCGAAGAAGGATACCATCATCTCTCACGCCAAAGTCTCGCGAGAACTCATCTCCCCGACCCGTGTCTCGTCGCTATGGTTTCAGCGGACTAAAATTTATTTCTATCGCTTACTGAAGAAATCCATGAAGGAATACCCATTGGAAGAGAAATTGATTCCAAAGATTGGACTAAATCACGCTATCACGTGACTACGTGACGAGACCTCAGTAATTCAAATGTATGTCTTTGGGAATATTCAAACAAACTCACTTTTCATCGCAGAGTAAATTAGGAAAAACAGATTTTACAAATCTCTGAAGAATACATTGGTCGTGTTTTGCTATGACCTGCTGTTAAACCAATGACAGGTAAAAACACAATTGCTAGTATCAACCCAGACAAATACGGTCTGGGGGAATTATTCAACATGTCCTTTTTCATTTAAGTTCCATCAATCGTAGATTGTATTCTTTCGAAAGAGAAAAACACATAGATTTGTTGATTTTTCTATCTGGACTTTTTAAAATGGACTTCTCTCTTAAAGATTTAATTAACTTTGAATATTTCTCATCTATTCTTTTTCAAGTAAAAACCGCTTTCAAATATCGTATACAATTATGTCTATATGTACGAAATGGTACCTACTGAAATTGCATTATATACGCTTCATGCTAAAATAAATTATATTAGCCGGTAGGACTAAACATAGGTAGACACTAAACACAACTATCATGGAACTAAAACTTAACCAAAAGCAAACACTGAGTGAAATCAATTGGGATAACTCGTTTTTCCTTAGATAAAAAAGTGCTGTTTTTAAGGTGGTTACGAGACTCCCGCCGCGAGAGTACCTTAAACAGACCTAAACACAAGTATTCACCGTCCCCAACCCTCAACTTCTGCAACATAACATGCATGAGACGTTGGCTACAATTATAGCTCCCTCTGCTGTTCATCTTACAAGTCTCAGAAGTGCATTTTGGCTTGGCTACCATCACTTGGTTAATCGTATGGCAGCAATATTTCAAACGATCCAGTCTCTGAAATAGCTTTTGTCATATATACATGAGCCTCTTTTTGCGTATACCTACAGCGTTACATGAAATAGGAGAATACAACATGAACTATTGATAGGTCCAGAGACCATATGGTCTCTGATAGGTCTTACTATTCATAATTTAGGTTCGTTAGTCCTAAAATGAAAAATGAAACGTTTGGAAAAGGTTACCGTGGGGGCTCATCGGTAACCCCTCAATAGGTTCAGAAGAACATTTTAAAATTTACTTTCATTTTGTGATGCGTCACTGATTACACAATCTAATCATGATTGGGATACCCGCACGAGAATGTGCGAATGAATTTTAATAATAAATATCTTAATTCATTGAAATTTGATATTTTAATCGTCAAAATGATTTCAATTTTTTTTCAAATCTTAGAGCTTTTTCCACACAGTGTGAAATTCGATTCGTTTTTCATCGTTATGAAGTCAAAAGGCAAGAGCTGACTTTGCGGCGATATTTTCGACAAATAACCATCCTAATACATTAAATGTAATTAGATTAATTGCAATTCGATGAATTTTTTATGTAATATTTTCACAATTGATGATGAAAGGGTCCAAAATGGCTGAACGGAGGAAACAATTGATTTTCATCATAAAAGGATATTTCCATAAAGAAATTGTATCCATAATTTTCCGTCCGAGGAGTGGAGAAAAGTAACCGGTGAAACTTATATACAACGCTGCGCCCGGGTGTTCGGTTTGCTCGGCGCTTTTTGATAGATGAGTGGCGAAATCCAACATGACACTTAAATCTCATGAATTTTAATGCCACGGTACCATGGGATTGGCCCCAGTTTCTTGTCCGCTTCCATGATAGGAACTGTCCCAACACGCCGACCCGCCAGGCAACACGAGAATTCAACTAAAATATTCCACAAAATTAAATTGCTTTTCAAGCTTATACTCTGAATGAATTTAATGCCAAAATAATTTGTAACTCTATATTTGACTATACAGAAAATAATAACGGCTGTTTCGAAATACGTGCAAAACATTTAGGTAAAGACTGCGAACAATTACGCAGACAATTTCATTACTGATCCTTATTCGTTTGTTTTCCATTTCCATCACGTCAAGTTTAGAAACAACACCACGCAACGAAGGGTAATGATATGCAGTTTGTTAAAAAGGTATGAAAAGTAATTGGGAGTCGCGTTGCAAAACAGAGAAGATCCTCTCGGGGATTCGGGGACTCAAAGCGCGAATAATAATTCATAATAATCAACAAAATTGAAACCTCTAACTGACACTATTTCCTATGAGTCGAATTCGTTTTTGGTTTTGTTTGACCCGCTGTCACATTTGGTAAAACCAGTTATCACTGCTTCGAAATGAATTCTACGTTTGCGTGTGTGGGATTATACAGATATAACTGCGGTTGGGTTCCCCGTTGGCTATTTAAACGTCATAAATACAATACCATTCATTCCTACACGATATGCTTAGTTGAACGATGTCGCACCTGCCTGGCCAAAGTTCGTATTGTGTTTTTTCAGGAATATTGTCAAAGAGTCGGGTGTGACGAAATCGGTATTTGTATTCCTGCAAGTAATAAAAGAATAGAACCATGTGGAGGAAGAACGTATTAGATCTGATCACTCCAATATGGACGCCAATCGAAAGTGATCTCAAGCGGTATGACAACTTAATCACAGATACAAGTCTTTCTCTCAGTTCTTTGAAAGAATTCACCTTGTCATTTTTTTCAGTAACTTTGTAATTTTTCATCAGTTTCTTTTTTGGCAAATGGTGTCCCAGACGTCCCAACTTGAAAGCTGATATTGTTTTATGACTACAGTGATACTGCTTAAGTTGTGAAAATAATTGTCTTTTACAATCAGTATGGCGTCCGGTTACCATTTTTACGGTTTTAATGTGGATCATGTTTTACTTTTATTTTGATAAAGCGTGTATATATGTGGAATACGGGAATAGTTATGACCATCTTTTACATAAATGAAGCAAGAACCGATGACTCAATGCCGCCGACAAACAGTCTGAGGTTTCCTCGTGTAAAACGTGCAATCTTTAAGAAGAAATTGTACTTCCTTCCCGAACAAAAACTGCCCCTTTGTAGGTGCTGTGTAAACAATATAGAGAAATGGCTATGAAAATCGTCTTAGCATGCTTGTGCGTTACATTCCGTGCGGGGTCCCTAGCGGCAAGATGAAACGCGCCCCAAGCTCTCGTCGGCATCTGTGGGGGAAGGCTGGAAAGGGGTACAGGGTAAACTTGAGGGATCCGGGAACATCTTGTAATAGTCAACCCAGAGACTACAAGAAGATGTGGTTATTCCTGCGCCAGCATGTCTGCGGAATATACCGACATGGGGAAGAATTCTCCTGTTGCAGAGATTCTAATAGGAACCGGACTCGTCGCTACCAAAGCTGTGAAACTCTGGTCCATACCGACTCATCCCCCAAGACTTGAGGAACGCCAGTACTCGTCCACATCTTCCATCCTCCCTTTGAGAGGGGCAGGTTTTGAGTGCGTTCTATTTTTTGTTGTATTTGCTCATTCAGGTTCTTGGTACTGAGTGCAATTATTCACGAGCGGTTTGGGAGGGGGTACCATAGTGTTATCTTTCCTCGAATCGTTCAGCTGACAGCTTTCTATAAGTTTAAGATTGATGGTTGAGCTATTGCGCGTATTTTACGAGAACGATTTGTGTATAATTATACCACCTGGTATTTTTTCTGTATCATTGCTTATTACAGATGAGGTAGAAAAAATGTGTAATCAGAAAGTACCAAGGTCTGTGTTTCTTGTTTTATAAACATCACCTCAAATGGCCGCAGCTGGGGGAGAAGTTACAATCTGTCGGCAATTCACAGTGTGTTTAAGATTTTTTAATTATTTTTTTTCTATTCTAAATCCCAATGAGATCACGTTTACCAGAACGAGGGAATATATAGCATATGTAGAAGTAATCGCATTTGTCAGGGACCACTACATCTGGACACATGTTCGTTGACGTCAGTTAAATGTGTTCGAGATACTGGACTTACGTGAGTGTCGTTATTTTAAAACAGTTCTAACTTCACCTCCCTCGTCTTGCAATGAGGTTAATAACTGTCATTCCTCGTACAACTACACTGACAATCACGGCTACTGCAGCTTTCTAAAGGAAAAGTGTACCACCGCCGCAACTGCCAAGGGTAAACCTGAACTGTGACCACTTCTTATCTGTAACCAGCACCAGGGGTAAAACTGAACTGTGACCACTTCTTATCTGTAACCGGCACCAGGGGTAAAACTGAACTGTGACCACTTCTTATCTGTAACCAGCACCAGGGGTAAAACTGAACTGTGACCACTTCTTATCTGTAACCGGCACCAGGGGTAAAACTAAACTGTGACCACTTCTTATCTGTAACCAGCACCAGGGGTAAAACTGAACTGTGACCACTTCTTATCTGTAACCAGCACCAGGGGTAAAACTGAACTGTGACCACTTCTTATCTGTAATCAGCACCAGCGGTACTGTCACTGTCTCACAACATACAAGGTTAAGCACGGTTAACTCATTACGAAAGAACTACACGGACAAACCCAACTACTTAGTTACAAAGGAACTACAATAACAAACACGGCTATGCCCACACAAAACAGCTACAATGACAAACACAACTACTTCCACACCAAACAATACAAGCACAGTTACTTCAACATAAAACAAAAACATCCACAAGGTCAATCATGGCTACTGTCATAGGTCTACACAACCACAAGGTCAACCATGGCTGCTGTCACAGTCTAAACATCCACAAGGTCAATCATGGTTACTATCACAGTCTACACATCCACAAGGTCAGTCATGGCTACTGCCATCGGTCTAAACATCCACAAGGTCAATAATGGCTACTGCCACAGTCTAAACATCCACAATGTCAATCACGGCTACTGTCACAGTCTAAACATCAACAAGGTCAATCATGGCTACTGTCACAGTCTACACACCACCACAAGGTCACAGTCAGTATAAACATCCACAAGGTCAATCATGGCTACTGTCACAGTATACACAACCACAAGGTCAATCATGGCTACTGTCACAGTCTACACAACCACAAGGACAATCATGGCTACTGTCACAGTATAAACATCCACAAGGTCAATCATGGCTACTGTCACAGTCTACACCACCACAAGGACAATCCTGGCTACTGTCACAGTCTACACAACCACAAGGTCAATCATGGCTACTGTCACAGTATAAACATCCACAAGGTCAATCATGGCTACTGTCACAGTCTACACATCCACAAGGACAATCATGGCTACTGTCACAGTATAAACATCCACAAGGTCAATCATGGCTACTGTCACAGTCTACACAACCACAAGGACAATCATGGCTACTGTCACAGTATAAACATCCACAAGGACAATCATGGCTACAAGGTCACAGCTCTGTCACTACATCCACAAGGTCAATCATGGCTACTGTCACAGTCTACACAAACCACAAGGAGGTCAATCGTGGCTACTGTCACAGGCTACTGTCACATCAACCAAGGTCAATCATGGCTACTGTCACAGTCTAAACATCCACAAGGTCAATCATGGCTACTGTCACAGTCTACACATCCACAAGGTCAATCATGGCTACTGTCACAGTCTACACAACCACACAACCACAAGGTCAATCATGGCTACTGTCACAGTCTACACATCCACAAGGACAATCATGGCTACTGTCACAGTCTACACAACCACAAGGTCAATCATGGCTACTGTCACAGTCTACACAACCACAAGGACAATCATGGCTACTGTCACAGTCTAAACATCCACAAGGTCAATCATGGCTACTGTCACAGTCTAAACATCCACAAGGACAATCATGGCTACTGTCACAGTCTACACAACCACAAGGACAATCATGGCTACTGTCACAGTCTACACAACCACAAGGACAATCATGGCTACTGTCACAGTCCAAACATCCACAAGGACAATCATGGCTACTGTCACAGTCTACACAACCACAAGGACAATCATGGCTACTGTCACAGTATAAACATCCACAAGGACAATCATGGCTACTGTCACAGTCCAAACATCCTCAAGGTCAATCATGGCTACTGTCACAGTCTAGGTTACTGTCGCAGTCTAAACAACCACAACAACAGTCACGTCTCGTTTCAAACAAAACAACTACTTTCAGAATCAACAGCTGCTGAAATTCTCTGGCCACCTTAGATTCTGCCCACGTCGAGGCCATCTAAATCTGTCAGCTGTCAGATCATATTTTACATATTAATGTTTAAATCTGCTGTACTCCGTGGCCTAGAGGTCAGTTGCCTGATGTTGCGATATTATACTGTTCTGGCATGTGTGCACAAGATGTGGCACATTAATAAACTAATTTTCTTTTTTCTCACCAGCTGTAAGGACAGGCCGGCTTTCTGTCAAATTACCAAACTTACAAACAAGTTACTGTCTACTCAGCTAAAAGGACAATAACTGCTACCGTAACTATTTACATAGCTACAAGAACAGATATTGTTACTATCTACACAGGTACAAAACGAATTACGGCTGCTGTTACTATCAAGACAATTACAAGTACAAGAGCAAGTGGGGCTACTGTTACAACCTACACTTCTACAAGGACAAGTAGGGCTACTGTTACAACCTACACTTCTACAAGGACAAGTAGGGCTACTGTTACAACCTACACTTCTACAAGGACAAGTAGGGCTACTGTTACAACCTACACTTCTACAAGGACAAGTGGGGCTACTGTTACTACCTACACTTCTACAAGGACAAGTAGGGCTACTGTTACTACCTACACTTCTACAAGGACAAGTAGGGCTACTGTTACTACCTACACTTCTACAAGGACAAGTAGGGCTACTGTTACAACCTACACTTCTACAAGGACAAGTAGGGCTACTGTTCTACAAGGACACTACCTACACTTCTACAAGGACAAGTAGGGCTACTGTTACAACCTACACTTCTACAAGGACAAGTAGGGCTACTGTTACAAGTAGGGCTACTGTTACAACCTACACTTCTACAAGGACAAGTAGGGCTACTGTTACAACCTACACTTCTACAAGGACAAGTAGGGCTACTGTTACAACCTACACTTCTACAAGGACAAGTAGGGCTACTGTTACAACCACACTTCTACAAGGACAAGTAGGGCTACTGTTACAACCTACACTTCTACAAGGACAAGTAGGGCTACTGTTACAACTCTACACTTCTACAAGGACAAGTAGGGCTACTGTTACAACCTACACTTCTACAAGGACAAGTAGGGCTACTGTTTACACTTCTACAAGGACAAGTAGGGCTACTGTTACACTTCTACAAGGACAAGTAGGGCTACTGTTACAACCTACACTTCTACAAGGACAAGGCTACTGACACACTTCTACAAGGACAAGTAGGGCTACTGTTACAACCTACACTTACAAGGACAAGTAACTGTTACTGTTACAACCTACACTTCTACAAGGACAAGTAGGGCTACTGTTACAACCTACACTTCTACAAGGACATGTAAGGCTACTGTTACAACCTACACTTCTACAAGGACAAGTAGGGCTACTGTTACAACCTACACTTCTACAAGGAAGGGTTACAACCCACACTTCAGTAGGGCTACTGTTACAACCTACACTTCTACAAGGACAAGTAGGGCTACTGTTACAACCTACACTTCTACAAGGACAAGTAGGGCTACTGTTACAACCTACACTTCTACAAGGACAAGTAGGGCTACACCTACACTTCTACAAGGACAAGTAGGGCTACTGTTACAACCTACACTTCTACAAGTAGGGCTACCTACAACCTACACTTCTACAAGGACAAGTAGGGCTACTGTTACAACCTACACTTCTACAAGGACAAGTAGGGCTACTGTTACAACCTACACTTCTAAGGACAAGTAAGGCTACTGTCTACAAGGACAAGTGGGGCTACTGTTACAACCTACACTTCTACAAGGACAAGTAAGGCTACTGTTACAACCCACACTTCTACAAGGACAAGTAGGGCTACTGTTACAACCCACACTTCTACAAGGACAAGTAAGGCTACTGTTACAACCTACACTTCTACAAGGACAAGTAGGGCTACTGTTACAACCTACACTTCTACAAGGACAAGTAGGGCTACTGTTACAACCTACACTTCTACAAGGACAAGTAGGGCTACTGTTACTACCCACACTTCTACAAGGACAAGTAGGGCTACTGTTACAACCTACACTTCTACAAGGACAAGTAGGGCTACTGTTACAACCTACACTTCTACAAGGACAAGTACAAGGGGCTACTGTTACAACTCACACACTTCTACAAGGACAAGTAGGGCTACTGTTACAACCCACACTTCTACAAGGACAAGTAGGGCTACTGTTACAACCTACACTTCTACAAGGACAAGTAGGGCTACTGTTACAACCTACACTTCTACAAGGACAAGTAGGGCTACTGTTACAACCTACACTTCTACAAGGACAAGTAGGGCTACTGTTACAACCTACACTTCTACAAGGACAAGTAAGGCTACTGTTACAACCTACACTTCTACAAGGACAAGTAGGGCTACTGTTACAACCTACACTTCTACAACCAAGGACAAGGACAAGGCTACTGTTACAACCACACTTCTACAAGGACAAGTAAGGCTACACCTAGTACAAGGCTACTGTTACAACCTACACTTCTACAAGGACAAGTAGGGCTGTTACAACCTGTTACAACCTGTTACAACCTACACTTCTACAAGGACAAGTAGGGCTACTGTTACAACAACTACTAGGGCTACTTACTACTAAGGACAAGTAGGGCTACTGTTACAACCTACACTTCTACAAGGACAAGTAAGGCTACTGTTACAACCTACACTTCTACAAGGACAAGTAGGGCTACTGTTACAACCTACACTTCTACAAGGACAAGTAGGGCTACTGTTACAACCTACACTTCTACAAGGACATGTAAGGCTACTGTTACAACCTACACTTCTACAAGGACATGTAAGGCTACTGTTACAACCTACACTTCTACAAGGACAAGTAAGGCTTCTGTTACAACCCACACTTCTACAAGGACAAGTAAGGCTACTGTCACTATCTCCACAAGTACAAGAGCAAGTAAGGCTACCGTTACAACCTACCCTTCTACAAGGACATACCGCCTCCGTGGTGTAGTGGTTAGAGCGTCCGCCCGGAGTGCAGAAGGTCGCGGGTTCGATCCCCGACCGCGTCATACCAAAAGACGTTAAAATATGGTACTTGTTGGTCCCTGCCTGGCGCTCGGCATTAATGGGTACAACAAGGACTGGTCGGCTCGGAGTCAGTATAATGTGTCTGAGTGGGGTATTCATGCTTCACTGCGGCATGGTATCTCAGTGGGCTAGCACTATAAAACCAGCTTCAGTCTGGGCTAGTACAAGCACACATACACACGTCGTCATATGAGCGAAATATTCTCAAGCACGACGTTAAAACCCAATTCAACCAATTCAATCTACAAGGACAAGTAAGGCTACTGTTACAACCCACACTTCTACAATGACAAGTAAGGTTACTGTCACTATCTCCACAAGTACACGAGCAAGTAAGGCTACCGTTACAACCCACACTTTGTAAGGACATGTAAGGCTACTGTCACTATCTACTCAAGTACAAAAGCAAGTAATGCTACTACCTACACTTCTACTAGGACAAGTAGAAGCTACTGTACCTGTTTACATTAATACGGCTACTGTCAATGTCTAGACAAGTACAAGGGCACGGGCGGCTACTATCAGTGTTTGTACATCTAGAAGGACAAGCACGGCTACTATCAGTGTCTGTACATCTAGAAGGAAAGGCATGGCTAGTGTCACTGCCTTAACAACTAAAAATTATAAACGGGTCCCAGCCCCTGTCCACAAAACTACAAGATACGGGTACAACCTCCGTGGTCAAGTGTATATGTCCTGAGCCTGGACACGTTAAAGGTCACGCAACGTAAGGCACCATGCAAGGAGTTACGTTCCTTTGGCCTGAGTTACGGCCCTTGGTAAGCGCCTTTCACTGCTTGTCAGTTTCAGCATGGGGGTATGTCGATTTCCAGCGCCATATCACTGACATACTGTTCACTAACTTATCTCCATGTCCACATCAATCCGTGAAGATCCGGGTTAGAATTGATCTTCAGCAACCCATGCTTGGGTAAGAGGCGACTTACGGGATCGGGTGGTCGCTGGCTTGGTTGACACATGTCATCGGTTCCCAATTGCGTAGATTAATGCTCATGTTGCAGATGACTGGATGGTCTGGCATAGACTCGATTATTTACAGGACGCCGCCATGTAGCTGGAAATATTGTTAAATGCGGTATTAAACAACCAACCAACCAACCAAACTATGTCCACTTCAGCTGAAAATGAAAGACTCATCTTTGCAAATCTTCCCAGCGTCGTAAGCCGTCCGTCCCAAACTTGTCTTAAAGGAGAAAAACGCTTCTAACCGAATTCTTTTTTTCTCTCATTCCGTTATGTTTTTCAACTTGATCAAACATCGAGAAAGAAAAACAACTTATTTGATGAAAGTTTCATGGGGATTAGTTTTAGATCAGAACAAAGTGGACAAAAAATGAAAGCAACCAAACAAAATATCAAAGGCCAAACTGACAGATCACGTGACCATGATTTCCTTTCCTACGCGCTTATATAAAAAAGCATCCCTGCATCGCGCGTGCAAAAAGATGGAAGCTTTCGCTTCTACTGGAAGCCAACGGTACGGCATCGGCTTGTTTGCGTGCCAATTAGAAATTGCTTTCTTATCCATGATGTTAGTGAATTGTCACGTGACCATTGCCTCCCATCGGAGATATCACGTGACTAGCACACACTAGCCCGCCAAAAAGGAAAAAGTGACATAATCTCGCTCGACACTTTCTCCATCAAAGATTTACAATTTTTTCCCTTCAATTCCCAATTCCGGATGTGCGTGTCAATTTTAGTATCTCTCTTTCAGTTACTTTGCGCTATCCCACCCATGGGTATACCCCATCCCACTTCTCTTGTTAACAATTAACAAGCCTTATTGGAAACGAAATCAAGAGGGGCGTCGAGAGAGCGTCTATTTTCTCTGTTTTCGTGTTGGGATGTTTTTCAGACAATGCTTACAAGCTGCGCGATAAAACATAGATGAAAAGGTGTGCGTTTCAGAACCAACTTCAAGT